ACAGCCTCCAGGCACCGCGAGAGGGCAGTCACGGCATCACTTACCTCGGGATGGAGATATATAATTGAGTATCATCAGCATACTGATGATACCTCATCCCATGATGACGTATGATCTCACCCAGCGGTTTCATGTAGATGTTGAAAAGGAGCGGAGAGAGAACCAAACCCTACGGCACCCCACAAAGGAGGGGCCGAGGATGGGACCTCTTGCTCCCTATTACTACCTATTGGGATTGGCCCTGAAGAAAGGAGGTTAACCAGCACAAGACCGTGCTGCCCACCCCCAATTCCCTGAGTCGTCCCAATGGGATACCGTGGTCGATGGTATCGAAAGCCGCTGAGAGATCAAGGAGAGCAAGGATGATTGCACTTCCACCATCCAGCTCCCGCCAGAGGTCATACATAAGTGTGACCAATGCTGCTTCTGTTCCATCACCAGGCCTGAATCCTGACTGGAAGGGGTCCAGATAAGCCGTTTCCTACAGAATCCTTTGAAGCTGTTATGCCACCACTTTCTCAACCACCTTCCCCCAAAAGGGGAGGTGGGAGACTGGACGGAAATTGTCCAGTCCAGTAGGATCCAGGGAGGGTTTCTGGAGGAGGGGGTGTACCAACGCATCTTTAAAGGCAGCTGGAAACACTCCCTCCCTCAAGGATGTATTAACTCTCGCCTGGATCCAACCATATGTCACCTCCTGAGCTGCTTTCACCAGCCAGGAGGGGCATGGGTCCAGATGACAAGCAGGGAGGCTGGTACAGTAGCAGCACTCCCAACTATTCACGGGAGCCCAACGTAAGAAACAGTGTCTCACAGCCAGAGACTTGTGGAGCAATGCCCCTGAAGGCCACCAAGGACTCTCGGATGATGACAGCAACCCCTCCTCTCCTGCCCTGGCATCTCGACTGGTGCCACACCATGAACCCAGCGGGGCACATTTCCGAGAGGGCCCCCCCCCTCGTGCCCCAGCCAGGTCTCTGTAATACATGCCAAGTCCACCCCTCCTCAGTCATCAAGTCACATATGAGGGGGGCCTTGTTTTTAACCGACCTGGCATTAAGCAGCAACAGCCGGAGGCCAGGGCTCCTATGAACCTGCTGACCAGGGCCTGGGAGTGAGCATCCCAGCACCTCATCTCCAAAGCCAACCGCAAAACGGCAGCTCCCGTGGTCTACTCACAAGGAGCAGCTATCCAGAGGCACGTGGATAAATCTCAACAATCTCTCATTCTTCTGGAAAGATTTTGCCAGTCCAGATCCAGCATCCAGCCATCATACTCCTCATAAATGTGGTCCCACTGCCAGCAGGATATCAGCTCAACACGGCACTCACAGGAAGTCACCCGATTTCTTATTCTCCACTTTGAGCCAGAACAATCGGTTACTAGTTTTTGAATAAACAACTTCAAGCCGGCATGAGCCTCTGAAACCCTGAAGTCTCC